ATCCCCGCCCGCCCGGTGTGAAGCAGCTGGGTGTCAAGGCTTAGCCCGCGCAGCGGATTCAGCGTAATACTTCCTCAGGCAGAAACATGTTGATTTTAGCTATATCATTTTGGCCGAGGAAAGAGCTCAACTCTATAATTCAAGGTATCATCATATTTCTCCCCATCTGCTTATGAATTATGTCATACGAGCTTTATAAACTTGTCAACTTCTTATTTTTAAATTTAGCTTTGCCAACGTCAGGCAATATACACAAAGGAGAAATGGACGTTTCCAAGCTATCAAACTGGCAGGCAGCCCCACTGCCACCCTCCAGCGTGATCAACGGCACCGGCACGCGGCCGGGGTCCTGGGAAGGAGCCAGCGCGGCGGAGCAGGGAAGCTGCGGGCCCTCGGTCCAGGCTCGCTATTGTAAGACCATCTGACGGAAGAGGCATTTATCTACTGCCCAAAAGCTGACTTTCAAAAATAATTCTCAGGTATTTCACATAAAAAAATTGCAAACTTCAACTAAAAATAAAAGAAGACAGGAAGTTAATGAAAACACATTTTGGAAAACAATGGGGACAGCTCGAGAAGTGCATTACCCAGTGTCAGGAAACTGCCCAGGGAAGCAAAGCGGAACCTCAGCCCGGCACAGATTGAAGCGTCAGCACTATCTCCTGCTGGACAGGAGGGGGGGAGGAGGGGGCCGGCAGCACATTTTTACAGACCACAAATATATTTCACAGTACAAAAGACTTTGGGGACATTTATTTCCAAAATTACAGCTGAACACCACCCATTCAGCGTTTGCCTCTCAGCAGTTTTCTCCATTACAACCTGAAGCCATGCCCTGCGAGGCCCCACAAACGCGGGGCCACAACCAACGACCGGGACAGGGGCTCCACAAGCCGTGGACTGAGACAACGGACAGCGTGGAGACAGGGACAAGCACTCCTGAGGAACGAGACCGACCTATTCCAAACTATTTCAGCCCACTGCCATTGTTAGGAAACGACCAGGATCTTCTCACACGCGGAAGAATTACTCTGCATGGATTTTTAAACGTCCAGGGTCTTGCAGCAGCCTGGACTGCCAGCTTTAATTCACTGGTTAATCAAGAGCAGGATAGACCTTTCTTAGGCAGAACTCCTTGTCTGCACATAACTACTTCAGTCATGGCTGCCTTTCACTTTGAAGAGTTAGCGTTAGGCACAGAATCTAACTGGCAGGAAGCCAGCTAGGTGACCTAAGTATATATCCTGAAGGTAAATATTATAAACAGTCAGTAAAGCTCTAAAAAAAGGAGGACTGGTTTTACAAATTCACCCTTTAAAGCAGAAAAATGAAAAAAATACATTTTCTAGTTGGGAATTTTTGAAAGGTTGTTATGCAAATAGTCAACGTTTACTTCAGGAAAAAAACAGTCACGCAAATTAACTGGTTTTAAAGTATCATTTAGTTAACTGCCTAAACAGTTACCTAAAGCAATAATACTTTTAGATGACACACCTTTGTCTGATGAAAAGTTTGTTAGCAGCTGGTAAGTCATCACTCACCCAAACCTTACCCAGCACGGTTCCACCAGCCTCTCCGCTCTGCTCTTACCCTGGTGCCGGTACCCTCAGCACACACGTGAAACGACACACTTACTGCCCTTGGTGCCCATACTTCAAGGCAATAAAAATTGCCAAAGTGACTGAATTCACTCACTTCCAGGATTTCTTCATGTGGGTACCCAAGCACCCGACTCCGCACGGCAAGGGGTCTGCGCGACGGCACACACACACAGAGGGGTTCCAGAGCTCGAGCCTCCTCGTGGGCGTGCGGCCCCTTCCTCCCACTGCTCACCAGGGAAGCAAAGACTGCTCAGACTGTTTCAGACAATGCCTCCAGTGGGCCCGATACGTTCTCCTCCTCAGCTCACCTTGGTTTAGGAAGTTAATGGCTTTCATACACGCGTACTCCTCGTTGCTGACCTTCAACTGGTTAAATTTGCGAAAGAGGTAGATCAACCGCTCCATCACCTCCATCCCCTCTTCACTGAACCTGAAGGACAGAGATCACACATCAACGTATGCAGGACACAGTCTGTACCATAAAGGCAAGAAGCTTGTTCAAGTAACTTCAGAGATTTAACATCTTGCAAGAGAACTTTAAAACTGCTTGAAATCTGCTGGCACCATCACATCGAAGTAGAAGTAAGAAGGAAAACGACGGAGCTACAAACCTGACTGCTACAGATATTTTAGCAAAAAACTATCCCTTGGTGCTTCAGTTCATCGCCAGCCTGCTCTGACAGAGGAAAAAAATTGATGGAGCCAGGAACAGGCAAAAACTTCTTGCGTGCTCGCAGGCACACTGCTTTGCCTCTCTACACTCGCATTCCTCCAGCTTTCAATGAGGGTTGTGCCTTTGCGCTTCGCCGGGCTAATGGGGGTTTAACCAAGCAGTTCAGGGAACAAGATGAGATTTCATAGAAATGTGGAGTGATACTTGTCTCGCAGGACATGAAAATCTCCCGCACAACACCTCTTGTCCTGCCAGATGCAAGGGTCAGGAGGCACTCCCTGCCTGCCTGGCGTCGCGCTGCCTCTGTCCGCGGCAGACAGCGGCTCACACCGCGCCGCGCAGCGCTGCGCCTCGCTCCTGATGGGTACTGACGCGGGGTGCCAGCACCTCCAGCAGCCCTGGGAGAGCCTTCCCCCGCCCAGAAGACAAGGCACCCCCGGCAGCGTTTCACGCCCGTCGCCCCCTCTTTCCACCCTCCACAGCAGCACCACGGGAGCAGCCCCAGCAGCCGCACGGCACCCGCATCCCACCCCGAGGGATCCGGGCTCGGCGGTGCTGCACAGCGCGCTGCAGAGGAACGCTGCTCCTCTGCGACGAACTCGCCCCGCCTGATGTCCGAGCTGGTGGTTTGTACGCAAACCCCCCCGTCCCACACAGCTGACGAGTTAACGCTGCCCGCAGGACCAGCGCAGTCCCAGGCTTCGGCTCTGCACAGCGCATCTCGGCGTATCGGCCGGCAGCGCCGCAACCGGGGGGTACCGGGCTGCGGAACTCGGGCACCAGACCCTGCCGCTCCGACACCGCCTCCCAGAACAACGCTCCCGAGCACTTCTGGTTTCCAGCCCTGGGGAATTACACCGGCCCACGCACGCCAGCGGCACACGCTTCATTCCTCTGACGGACGGGTGAGCTCAGCTCCCCAAAACGCCCAGGAGTGACTCAGCGAGCTCCTGCGCTTCCACACGGCCGTACTTACTGCCTGCTCGTTATGGTTTGTTAATTTTCCCTGGCTGAGTGCTTCTGGGGCGAGACATACTGCGGGAAGGCTGGGATCCTCCTCACAAATATGCACATAACCATAAATAACCACTGTTACAGGGAGCGAAGCTGCGGGCTACGGTCTAAGGTCGAACCACGCAGTCCAAGGAACATGTGCCGTTTCCTCCTAAACTTCCCCCTCCAACAGGATGTGCAGGACCCGCTGCGCTTCACCCAGGCGCACCGAGATCCAGCGGGAAAGGCACTGCTGCTGGTGTGGACTGCCAGGGATCCACGGCCAGGACCTGGATCCAGCACCTACGCTCTCCAGGTACAGCCGCGCTTGTGGCCGGATCCCTTGCCGCCAACAAGCCGTGCGTCTCTCCAGCGCGTCCACGCTCGCCAAGGGCAGCCAGCGACAGACGGGCGGGAGCCACGCCGCCGCACGGGGAATGTGAACCTCACCAAAACCTCCCGCGAAATGGCCCGACGGAGGTTCTGGGGGTGCAGAACCAGGTCCTCCCGCAGAAGGGGGTGCAGGACTGACACCCCGCGTGCGCACCACCAGAAAGCCGTGGTGTAGGCAATGGGCAGCAGCAGAAGCAGAGCTGGAGGGCGCAGGGGGGTGCCGGAGCCCGCAGGGAAGCTCTGCAGACCCTTCCCTGAGTGCCAGCACCCAGAACAGCCTCTCGGGAACGTATCTCCCAGCAACACCCCTGGTTTCAAAGAAACCACATATTGCAAAAACGCTCAGAAGTGGGACAGAAGTGTTTAGGGAAGCTTCAGCTGCGCTCTGGCATTGTACAGCACAAAGAATAAGAGCACAGCCAGAAAGCCATCTTTGAATAGAACAAAAATAGAACCTTTTTCACTGAATAATACCTTATTTTGGCATGTGTGTTTGTTTACTTCAAAGTTATTTGTAAAATGCATGGTGGAGTTTGACCCCAGAGGAGTGAAAACAAGCTATCTGAACTCCAGGTCACTTCTTCAAGAAAGTAATATTGTAAGTGATGAAAGCCTTGTCGGCTAATCTAAAGTTGTACAAGTTTTCTTGCTCTCAAGTTGACATTAAAAATCTTGCAGGTGCAAGATTGCAAAGCTCAAGAAGTTAATGAGCACAAAGACCACTCAGTCGTCTGTTGGGTTTAATTGTTTTTAGAGCATGCACATTTTTCACAGCCACTCATCACTTCATAAATCCAGGAGAGCTCTTCTCTCATTCCTGCAGTTGAACTGTCTTACTTTTCTGTGCATACTTTCCTCCCCCTTTCAAACAAAGCTGTTCTGTTTTTCACAGCCCTATTTCTTCTCGAGGACTGACTCCTCCACACACTTTTCCTCGCAGTTTACACCAGGCAAGTCTCCGGCTGGGAGTTATCGGGATCAGCTGGGGAGGAGGGGGAAGGGAAGCGCTATCAGGAGTGCTGGGGGAGGTCAGGAATCTATTCATTTCATATTCATCTCCAGAAAAACAGCACAATAAAAGAAAACATTTGATCTAGCAGGCAAACAGAACATTGAGCCAGTTGTTAGAAGTGATTAAAACACAGGGGCTGCGGAGATCATCCTATGCCTTCATCCGCCACCTACCTCAGCTTTAGCATTCTTATTGCTAAGTGAGAACAGAAATCAACCCCAGAGCATCAGACTATCACAGCTCAACGAGATGTCTTCACCTGGCTGTGAGATCTGATGAACTCCAGTGTGCAGTCATTACTGACCAACACCAGCGGCAGCGGGCTCTTCGAGGAAACCCGCCAGCTGGACACCCCTCTGCAAGAGCCCCTCTCGAACCCACGGGATCAGCTTTTCCAGGCGTGCAGGGGACAGGGAGAGGAACACCCGTGAACGAGCCCACTGCCGCCCGCAGACAGTCCGGCTGCGGCCCAACGACCGTCACAGCAACCGGGAGGGAGCTGTGCAGCTTGAGGCCTCTCATCTGTGCAACTGCCCGCTAAATGGCTTTTTTTGGTGTGCATTTTCCCATGTTACTAATGACAATTAATGATACTTGAAAAGATAAATTAGAAGAGACTGCAGAACCACCGCACTCCCAAGAACACCTATTTTCATCCATATGCACAGATCTTCTCTGAAGGACTTTCGAGGCGACCAGCTCTGAATTGCCGGTTTCTGAAGGGCGAGGATTCCTCCTTTGTCTTGTTCTCTGACCTCTCCCTCGTATTTATCGCAAACCCAAAAAGAAACAAACACTTCTCTTTTGAGGCTCTGACCAGGACAGCAGGAACAAAAGGACGGCTGAATGCAGGAACAAGTGTTATTGCGGTTTTCTATGACGCTTTCTGTTCCTCGCAGGAGCAGCACCAGATGCACAATGAATGGCCGGGCAGAACGGCACCAGGAGGAACCCGCCCCAGGAAACGAGGCACCTGGGTCCAGCCCTGGGCTCCTCCACTCCTCCACCGTGGTCTCAGCCAGCCAGCCCCTCCGGCTGCCACACCACAAACACAAAGGAACCTCAGGGAACCATCAGACACTGCGCTGGCTGAGGACCACAGCAGAATTTTACATCTCTGCTCATCAGACGCCTAGATGCCCTGATAGCTCTTGCAAAATCACCAAGCCTAGCAAGGGCAGCGTGCCAACAGGGCAGATGTTAACAGGGAAGGTGGGCAGCACTTTCTGTGAATCCTACCTGTTCCGCTACAATACTGCGAGACTGTGAGTCTACCACCACAGGGAGGGTCTGTCTGGCACCAAGACTACAAAACAAAACACTCAAACCAAAAGCCACCACCCTGACCAACATGATAAATGAACGGCAGGTTCCTCAGAGCATCAGATAGCACGTACTATGGAAAAAACAAGAGCTAAGTTGCAACATCTTTAAATTTATGTAATCAAAACAATGAAATGGCAATTAATAACGAACACTTTGATAACACAGACAACCAGCTCTGAGAACAACCTTTCCACTGGCCCAAAGCGTTTCTACATAAGACCTTCCGTTCTGCATCTCAGGGTTACCCAAAGCGTTGGTTAGTTTTACTCTCCCCATAAACAGGGCGGTTTGTAGGGCTGTGCTGGCGGATGACAGCACTGCTACAGGGACTTCACACAGCCCCAGGCACCTTCCCCTGCAGAAGGAAGGCTTGGTTCAACACCAACTAGCCATGGTGTACTTTCTAAGCCTGGAAAAACCACTCCCTACAGAGTGGAAACGGAAAACAGCAGCAGGCAAGGTGACCTGTCCCAGGAGAGGTGGTTAGCTGGTCACAGGGCCAGAAACACCCGCCTGACCACTGTCCCCCCAACAGCTCCTCCATCCCTAGACCTCGCTCCTTTACCCACGGGCTCAGCCCGACGTCTCACCTGTGCAGCTCATCATCAGAGGGAGAGTACTTGGAGGTGACATCCGCAAGGTCACCAAAGATCTGCTTGCTGTAAACAGTCAGCGAGGAGAGCAGGATCAGCTCCTGCCACGTAGAGCTGAGCAGGCAGGTATAGTCCTTGATGGAGAGTTCGCAGAAGAAAGGCAGCTTCTTGATCCAGGCAATCTGCCTGAAAAGCAATTCATCCGCCAGACGACACAACAACGCAAACAGCTCCGCCTGAGTCACTTTATACCTGCAGGCACAGTGGGTATGAAGGCATAAAAACCACGAAAAACATTGAATGACATCACCTGATGAGACACTTGAAAAGCAAGGCAAACGCCACAGGAATTCATGTTCAAGTGCGCACTGTGCCAGTGCCCAGGGCGTCACCTGGCAGCGGGATCCCCGCCAGCCAGCACCCAGCCTGCCCGCCTGGGAGACCCCTGAACCATGGGGTAACCCACCTGGCCAGCGCCCCGCCGGA